AACATAAAATTCCATTCCTGAGCCTTGAATGGATTTTTACAATGCATGGTTATTTAACATCACACATTTGTTATTTTAAAAATATTGGTTCACTGATTTATGCAAATCTTTCAAATGCTGACACATTTCATTGTACAATTCTCAATCACATTTGTTAATTTAATGATTACTTTAAGTCATGGTGGCAGATACATTTTCTAAAATTCTGATTTTTCAGTTGAAAGCTGAATTTTGCCAATGGCAACACATTCCATCAGTTGTTTTTCTAGAAATGACAGGTTTACCTTTATTTTTGATGAAATATCTGACAAATACTTGAGTCTGAATAAACAATTTGCCTCAATCATTATTTCAAGTAAATATGGTGTTCCAGGAGTAAAGTGGCTAGCTCAGTTTGCAGCTGAACCAACTGCTGAAGTATTTATGCAGCACACCTACTTCGTTATGCAGTGGGAGTGCTTTATGTATACTTCCCATTTTATCACACAGAATATTAACAACATGTACTCAAAAGTTGAGGCTTAATAAAATTAGTATTACTACTTCTTCAAAGACATTCTAAAGTGAAATAGGTATTTTTAACTGCATATGGCATTAATTTGCTACTAAAACAGTAATTGTACCACAGTCTTACCCACTATGGTTTTGCACCATTGGTGCAAATGTCAAACAGAAGAAAGGCAAATAATGTCTTAGTATTATAATAGTTTAGGCATAGCAGATAACCCCCTTAAAAACATCTCAGGGATTCCCCAGGTGCCTACGATTATAGTTGGACATTAATTTTCTTTATCCCTGTTAGAATGTAAGTTGTACAATTCCTAGGATTCTTAATCTCTTGTTCAGACATGCCTCCAGGGCATTCAATAAATATACACTAATTAGTTAATGAAAATAATCAGAACTAGATCATGATAGTGAAGATCTTATGATCTGCATGATTAGAAATTCATTTTTTTTTTTTTTGACAGGCAGAGTGGACAGTGAGACAGAGAGACAGAAAGAAAGGTCTTCCTTTTTCTGTTGGTTCACCCTCCAGTGGCCGCTGCGGCCAGCGCGCTACAGCTGGCGCACCGAGTTGATCTGAAGCCAGGAGCCAGGTGCTTCTCCTGGTCTCCCATGCAGGTACAGGGCCCAAGCACTTGGGCCATCCTCCACTGCACTCCCGGGCCACAGCAGAGAGCTGGACTGGAAGAGGAGCAATGGGGACAGAATCTGGCACCCCGACTGGAACTAGAACCCGGGGTGCCGGTGCCGCAGGCGGAGGATTAGCCTAGTGAGTCGCGGCACTGGCCTGGAAATTCATTTTTAAAAATTTATTTTTCATTCTCTTACTTTCTCACCCTCTCCCCCAGCCCGTTGGGCTTCTCCCACCCGACAATAAACCTTTCTCTTAACTCCAGTGTTTGGTGTGTTTTGTGGTGGCTTTACATTAGTGCTGTGACTCAGATCCAGGCTCTCTCATCGACCTTGCACTCCCCTCAGGGATTTGAGGTACTCTGGGATCCTGTACCCTGGCCAGCCACAAAGCACACCCCTGGACCTCCTTCCACACTACTGAACACTTTGTGATCTCCACCCACACGCCGGCCTTTCAAATTCCTGAGTGTTTAGAGGAGGTGATAATGGAAAAAAAGCAAAGCCTTCACCAACCAGGCGGTCAACCAAATGCTGCTACAGGGATATACTCGGCTCCCCACCTACGAGATCGAGGCTTGAGACATCGCCCCATGCCAGCAGGAAGTAGTTCCAAAGACAGATCATCATCCCTCCATCCATCCTGGACTTCTGGGCCAATGTAATCCCATACAGCACTTGCTTTATAAAAAACAAAAGAGGCGAATGTAAGTAAAATTGCGCAGCCTTGTCTGTGGCGTGATTTATGTCCCAGACACCGTCCTAGGCTCTAGCCTCTGCTGCCAGGTGACCAGATGGCCCAACCACAAGTGTGCGTTCCACCTCCACCCTAATGGGATTCACTGCTCCTATTTCCCTGCTTAGCCGGCAAAGGTATAGCAGGACCTGTTCCCCATACATGTGCTCTCTCTTACTCTCTCAGCCTCTCCCCCATCCTGTCAGGCTTCCTCCACCCAATAAACCTTTCCTCTAAAAAAAAATTTTTTTTCCAATAGGTGAAGTATACAACAGGATACTTGGTGAAAAGCCTCCCATTTTGCTTCCCCCAAAGTGCTTATTATTGTCAGTTTCTTACAGATTTTTCCATGGATATTTTATGGACTCATAAGCATTATATACAACAGCATGTTCCTTTGACCTATCACACACAGAGTAGTATATTATACACAATAAGGAATGCATTGTGCTTTTTTAAATGTAAGCTTTTTCTTTTGGAATAATTTACAGAAAAGATACAAAGATAGTATGGAGATTCTTATATACTGCTTATTCAGCTTCTAGTACTGTTCACATCTTACATAACTATAGTGCCAAATCAAAGCTAATAAATTAATACCACTACATTATTACTAACTGATACAATTCACTCATACTTCACTAGTTCTGTGCTTTCAGTTCTAGAATCCAATCCAGGATGCCACATTACCATGGGGCTTTTTTCACTTCAAAGGTATCTTGATGATTGTTTTTTATCAACTAATACGTAGTTGTCTATATGGAAGGACTACAGAATGAATTCATAGAAGTGGAACTGTTAAGGATTATGCACCTTTAAAAGTTACCAAACCTCACATCCTCAAAGAAATGACTAAATCCATCTAAATGGCCCACCTGTGATTTGAGTATTTTAAGTTCCTTTAAAGTTCTAAGAGCTGGACTGGGGAATTAATGAGTGGTAAAAATGGAAAATGCTTAAAAAATTTGGATACCTTAATTTGCTTTAAATGTACTGGAACATAGCATTGCATGACTTACATTATGCCAATACTCCACTGTATCGTGACCTACGTACAGTATATAGTTGACTCCTCGTAGGACCGCTAGGGGGCTCTGCTAGAAGGTTTTTTTTTTTTTTTTTTTTATCGTCTACGTTAGTCCACTTAGGAAATGTTTTGAGAGGATCCTTGTAACTCTGAACTTCTAAAACTTGAAAGAGATCGTTAACTCTAGCTTTCTTATTTCACAGACGAGGAAACCAAAGCTGGCCAAAAGAGCAGGCAGGGGAGAAAATTGTAATAAGAAAATCTGCTCTTGCTTTTTGGGGCAGGAATTCAAGAAATTCCCTTTTGCCATGTGCCTCTGCCGAACTATTCATGTCCAACGGCTACTTCCTTTTTGGCTGCCACAATTGTCGTTATTTTTGCTAAATTCATGTGGCTGCCGTATTTTTGCAATAGGACATTTTGCTGATTGGGTTATGTGATTACGACCTTTAATCCCCATTCCAAAAGTTCTACTCATAAGAGTCCTCGGTGTCAAAACCGTCTTATTTACTGCAAGCGCTGTCGACCATGTCAAATAGCTTTTCAAACAGAGTATCCACCTCCACCATTTTCCTTTTTTTACACATTCAATATTGATTGAGTGCCTACTAGCGCCAGCCACCTTAGCAGGCCCTAGGCCCCAACACCATCCCTGTAAGGAGCTTCTGTTGGCCAGTGTTCACCTTAATGCGTAGACTTCCACAAGCCTGGCCCAGTGGTTCATCGTCAGCAGCAGCAGCAGAGGCAGGGAGTTTGTTAGGCACCTCCTTAGGCCCAGCCTACATTCTTTTTTTTTTTTTACTTACGTTATCGGACAGGCAGAGTGGACAGTGAGAGAGAGAGACAGAGAGAAAGGTCTTCCTTTGCCGTTGGTTCACCCTCCAATGGCCGCCGCGGAGGCGCGCTGCGGCCAGCGCACCACGCTGATCCAGTGGCAGGAGCCAGGAGCCAGGTGCTTTTCCTGGTCTCCCATGGGGTGCAGGGCCCAAGCACCTGGGCCATCCTCCACTGCACTCCCTGGCCACAGCAGAGAGCTGGCCTGGAAGAGGGGCACTCCCTGGCCACAGCAGAGAGCTGGCCTGGAAGAGGGGCAACCGGGACAGAATCCGGCGTCCCGACCGGGACTAGAACCCGGTGTGCCGGCGCCGCAAGGTGGAGGATTAGCCTAGTGAGCCGCGGCGTCGGCCCCAGCCTACATTCTAAAGACGAGGCTCACCAATACGATTAAAAAAAAAAAAGAAGAAAAGAAAAAAACTTCCAGGGGTTTTGATGAACACTCAAGTTTGAAAACCAAGGTTTTAGTTCCACAGATTAGCGGTCAGTATCTGGTTTCTAAACCCACTTCAGATCTTTCCAGGGGAAACCTATCTCAAATAGAAGCAATGGGCTCCAACAATAGCCGCCCTGAGTTTAATGACGGGTAGTCCCTCAGATGATCATTGTTAAGAGTGGCAGTCATGCTCTGCCCTCCTCTCCCCCCCACAAAGAAAAAAACCATAAAAAAAAAAAAAAACCAGCAAAAAAACCCAAGCCACCGCGGTGGCTTTTCTGGGGCTGTCCTAACCGACCCTGGGCCGACCGGGGCCGCGCTTTCACACAGACTCGGCGGGCACACGCAGCCCGGATCCGGCTGAGTCAGGGCGACGCTCAGGCCGCGTGGGGCCGCAGGAAGCCCTCAGCCGGGCTCGGGCCTCCATGCAGAGGCCAGGGGCCGGCAGCCCCGCCAGTACCACACTGGGGGTCGTCCAAGCGAGGCGCGGGTGGGGGGAAGCAGGGGCGCAGCGGCGAATCCGAGAGGCCGAGGCAGGGATGGCCAGCGCGGAAGCCGCACCCGCCCGGCCCCAGACGCCGGCAGGGCGGAGTCACGCGTCCGCAGCTCCGGCTGAGACGCGCGGCGCGGCGCGGGCTCGTGGCTGAGGCGTATGGGGCTACAACGGGAGCGGCTGCGCCGCCCGGCCGGGTCGGTGTCGTGCGCATGCGCGGGTCCGGCGCCATTTTGGTGGCCGGGCGCGGAGGTGATTCCACAGAGCAGAGCCCGGCGGCCGGGGTGGCAGCGGCGGTGTTCGTGTGCTGGGATCTGAATCTCCGAGGGAGGAGGCGGTGGAGGAAGAGGTGGCGGCGGTGGCGGTGGTCGTAGCGGTGGCGGAGGAGGCGGGTACGAATCAGCTGCGGGCGGAGACATGGCCAACATCGCGGTGCAGCGAATCAAGCGGGAGTTCAAGGAGGTGCTGAAGAGCGAGGAGGTCAGAAATGAACTCCCGGACATTCCCCCACCAAGGCCCAGGGCGGGCGGGCCCTCCCAGCGGCGACCCCGATATCCCCGGTGGCCCTCCCCGCGGCCGCCCTTTTGCCTGTGGGGAAGCGGCCGTCTCCCCCTCCTCCTCCCGCCGCCTTCCCCTCCCTTCTAGGGCCCTGGGGTGGACGGCTCGCGGGCGGGTGGTCTGGGGAGGAGTACGGTTTGGGGGGGGGGCGGATGGAGAGGGGTGCACTCCGCGGCGGGGTGCGAGCTCTCTCTCCCGAGCCTCGAGGCGGTGGCAGCAGCTGGAAGTGTGGCTGTGGGGTGTGGGAAGGCAGCAAGGCCGGGCCTGAGAAAACCCGGGAAGTGGGTTGGGGGAAGGGGAAAGGTGGTAACTGGATCCGGAGAGCAGCGCTGCTCCAAGGCCCACACTCTGAAGGGTCTTGGGGTTGTTGCCTGTTAGGCCTTTGCTGTCCGTTCCGAAGGCGAGGAGCGATGAGAGCCCTGAGGTGCTGGGGGAAGGAGAAGGACATGCAGAGGTATTCCCTCCTAGTTAGGCGTGGGGAGACAGGAAAGGCATAATGGGATACTAGCTTGTTTGGGGGATGGGATAAAGGAATTTTCACCTGAGATAGGGAATTAATTCCAAATGAGATCTTTATCTCCTTTCCACGTGCCCCCCAGTTCCTAGGCCTCTTTATTGACATCTAGTGCTTTTTAACGGGGCAGAGGCTAGGTAGTGTATTAAAGATATTTACATATTTTTAGCTAAGGAAAAAATAGTGAATGAGTAGCTTATTTGAGAACATTATTTACAGGTTACATATCAGACTGTCTCAAGACAATGCCTCTGTGACTCGTGTTGGGCCATGAAACTCCATTATGATGTCCCTCATGGTTAAAACTTGTGTCTTTTAAAAATAGACCCATTAAAAACAAAGGATTTCACCCTGTTAATACATTGTTGTCTCTTAATTGAGTAGGTTTAACTCAATATACATCTCTTGACATAGCATATTCTTTATTTTTAAATTGTCTTTTTCTGCCGTTGAGTCCTGCAGAATTTAGATGCCTTACTTCTGACCACATTTACTTATGTAAGGTATTTAAAATGTCCTAGTAATTCTGACTCGAAACTCTGCAAGTGTCAGTACAGTTTGTCATAACTACTGAAAATTACTATTTTCGAGATCCACACCCATGTCATTATTGAATATATCATTGCTATTTGTGTCTTTTCTAATTGTTGCTTTGATAATGTCAATAAAGATTTGTGACACTCAGCCTTCCCAGGATGTGATGAGTAATTGACATAGTCTAATAGCACTTAAGCTTTATTTGTGTCATTGAATCTACTGTGATTTCATCTTTCCATACATCAGATGTGGAGAAAATCATTATAAAATTCAAAAATGACAAATACTAGCAGATCTATTGACTATAGTAGTACGTAAGTCATGATCAGCTCTACAGAGCATGTGTATGAACTCTGACCTTTGTGTTCGTTCATATGCCAAAACTCTGAATGGAAGGATGACTTTGTATTTTTTGTGGTACAATGCAGAATAGAGTCATTAATGTCTGGAGAGTGTGCAGTGAAACAGTGGTACTAACTTTCTATTTAGTAATGATAAGAAAGATGTATTCCAGGGTAGTTGATGTATATATTCCTAATGAAGAATTGCGGCTAATATTGTTGCTAACATCCTAAAACATTTCCTTTATAATAAGGGTGTACAAGCCTGAAACTTAATGAACTAATAGTTGTGGTGTTTTTTTTTTTTTTTGTATTATTTAAAAGTGGTAAGTTACTGCTTCAGGTAATTCACGTGATCTTTTTGCTTTATGTGAGGTGACTTTATCATTGTATTCTTAAGGACTTAAGTTGAGGATTACCAGAAATACTTGTATTACCCTAGAAGTGCATATTGTTAAAATAATCTTTTTTTTTTTTTTTAAATGTAAGGGCTACTAGAGCCTTACTTTTAAAAGTGTCATAGTATTTTAGAGAAAGCAAGCAGGAAATACAAACAAAATTATTTTTAAAGTACCTTTATAAATCTGGAAGGAAACTGCTTCGGAGAAAGTGAGTTGCGAAGAACCTTTAGTTAAGGTCAAGCAGTTTAATCTTGAAATAAATATAACTAATAAACAGCTTTATTTTCATCAATATTTTAGTGGGCCCAGTTATATAAGTAGATTATGTTGATTATTTTCAGCTTATTGAAGGACTGGTGTTCTTTGTAAGGGTATAAATGCAGTATTTTGAATGGCCGATCAGTAATAAGTTATTTCGTCATGTCACGTTATGTGAATCTCTGGTTTACTGAAGTTTATTTCCTGTTCTTGTGTTTACTAAAACTAGTGGTTGATTTAAAGACCCCCCCTTTTTTGGGGAGCCCTTTTGTGTCTTTGTGAAGATAGCTAATGTCACAAGAGGTTATACACAACTATTAGAATATGTATTTGTGCAGGTGAAAGCATCATGAGAAATTGGTAAAAGTAGCTTCTTTTGTGTAGGGGGGTTGGGTGTATAGGGTATGAAGAGATCTGTTCAGACTAAATAAAATACATAAAGGCACCATCTAAGCCTGTTTTCCTTAGGACAGTGTTAGAAATCCATCTTGTAGCTGTTGGAAACTATTTTCTAAAATTGAGTTTTAGGTAATAATTCAAAGTTGTCTGGATTGGTGCATTTTGTAGTTATGAGTTCAGTTGTTGAGATGATTAGGTGAATTGTTGATTGTGATGTTATAAAACCATTCTATTTTATTCAAAAGTTGTATTATTTACCGTCAATTATTACTGGTATTAACAGCTGCCATTTGTAGCCATTTGCTTATACACTGTTGTTAATTCTTAAACACAAATCTTTGAATTTAGATTTCTGAGATGAGAAAATTGAGATCCAGGAGAAGTAAAATTATTTGCGAACATACAGCTTTGGGATTTGGATCTAGGTCTGCTTGTGTTTGTGTTGTACCACATTGTCATGGCTTGTGAAGATAGGCATGCTATTAATTATTTAAAATAATTGAGCTGGGTTTGCATTGCTAGTTAAAGGATTTAAACGCAACCTAATTTGTTAGTTTAAACTCACTGAAATAAGTGTTACCTCTAATTAACGTAAAAGTTTTTAAGCTTTGGAGCTTTTGTGAATTAAAAGCTCTCAATTGAATGCATCTACTCTTGTTTTTATGCTAAATGGTGTCTGTAGTTTTTTCACATTGTAGCTGCATGTTGGTAATGTTTTTAATAGTTTCCTAGAGAATGCTTAAACCTATGGCAGAAACAAATTGATTTCATGAAAAACACTTTTGTATATTTTATTTCAGGGTTAAAACAAACTTTTGTACATTTTATTGTTTTTTATTTTTATTTTTTGACAGGCAGAGTGGATAGAGAGAGAGAGAGAGAAAGGTCTTCCTTTTGCCATTGGGTTCGTCCTCCAATGGCCGCCACGGCTGGCGCGCTGCGGCCGGCGCACCGTGCTGATCCCTAGGCAGGAGCCATGTGCTTCTCCTGGTCTCCTATGGGGTGCAGGGCCCAAGTACTTGGGCCATCCTCCACTGCCTTCCCGGGCCACAGCAGAGAGTTGGCCTGGAAGAGCGGCAACCGGGAAAGAATCCTGCACCCTGACCAGGAGTAGAACTCGGTGTGCCGGCGCCGTTAGGTAGAGGATTAGCCTATTGAGCTGCGGTGCCGGCCAATTTTTGTACATTTTAAATTTTACAAATTGTTTGATCTAGCTTGATCTAGGTTATTCTGTATAGAAGTAGTTGCAAATCTCTAGAAGAAAGTCTTGATTTCTGAAGACTGGTTTATTTTTTTAAAAAAAGGTTTATTTATTTGAAAGGGAGAGTGATAGAAATCTTCTACCCCTTGGTTCATTCCTCAAATGGCCACAATTGCCAAGGTTGGGCCAGGCCAAAGCGAGGAGGCAGGAACTCCCATCTGGGTCTTCCGCATGAGTGGCAGCAACCCAAGTACTTGCAAGGGCTATCATCTGTTGCCTCTCAGGATGTATTATCAGGAAGCTGGATTGAGAGTGGAGTAACTGGTACTTAGACATGGGATGCGGGCATTGCAAGCAGTTAACTAACAGAGCTACAGTGCCCATCCCTAAAATGATTTTTGTCTTTGTCCTTTGGACATAGATTTAGATACATCTGGGCTCCACTGTTAAGTCACACCTTTGTAAAAAAGGTATGCTTGTATTTCCCAGTGAACATACTGATTACAGCCCCCCAATTTTATTTTTTTGTAAAGATTTATTCATTTATTTGAAAGAGTTACACATAAAAGGAGAGGCGGGGCCGGGAGAGGGAGCAGGGAAGGGAGTGAGAGAGGTCTTCCATCTGATGGTTCACTCCCCAGTTGGCCTGCTGGAGCTGTGCCCATCTGAAGCCAGGAGCTTCCTTTGGGTCTTCCCACGTGGGTGCAAGGGCCCAAGGACTTGGGCCATTTTCTACTGATTTCCCAGGCCATAGCAGAGGGTGATTGGAAGTGGAACAGCCAGAACTCGAATCAGCGTCCATATAGGATGTTAGCACTGCAGGTTGGGGGCTTTACCTGCTATGCCACAGCGCTGCCCCCCCCCCCCCTTTAGATTTATTTGCTTGAGAGGCAGAGTTACAAAGAGGGAGAGACAGAGAGGTCTTCCATTGGTTCACTTCCCAGATGGCTGCAACAGTTGGAGTTGGGTGATCAAAAGCCCTGAGCCAGGAGCTTTTTCTGGATCTCTCACCTGGGTGCAGGGGCTCAAGCACTTGGGCCATCTTCTGTTTTCCAGGCCATCAGCAGGGAGCTGGATTGGAAATGGAGCATCCGGGACTGGAACTGGTGCTTATATGGGATGTCGGACCACAAGTAGATGCTTAACCCATTATGCCACAGCACTGGCCCCAGCGTCCCCCCGCCTCCCCCAAATTCTTACCTGATTGGGGAGGTAGGGCAGATGAAGAATAGATAATAATGTTGGGTGCATAGACTAAATGCTATGGTAGT